CGTCACTCTAAGAACCAGAAGGTGCGGATCATCGTACTAACGAGCCTTGATCCGCTCAAATAATGAATATTGAGCCACAACACATGCAAGAACTCGACTAGGATCTAAATATCCAACCTCACAAGTTTGTTAGCTAATGACTGAATTTCCAAAACAAATGGCCTCTCCTCCACTTAAATGAATGCCAAACTACCCATACTCTCGACCTTTATGCTCAAGGCATCCGCAACCGTATTTGCCTTACCTTGATGATAAAGGATGGTGATATCATAGTCCTTTAGTAACTCAAGCCACCTGCACTACCTCAAATTAAGATCCCTCTACTTACACAAATGTTGCAAGCTATGAGGATCGGTGTAAACTTCACAGGACACCCCATAAAGATAATGCCTCGAGATATTAAGAGCATGAATTGTCGCGGCCAACACCAAATCATGTACAAGGTAATTCTTTTCATGGGTCTTCATCTTACGTGAAGCATAATCAATAACTCGCCCCTCCTGCATCAATACACAACCCAGACCAACGCGTGAAACGTTGCAATACATAGTATACATCCCTGAACCAGAAGGCAACGCTAAAATTAGTGTTGTAGTCAAAGCTGTCTTGAGCTTTTGCAAGCTCACGTCGCAATCATAGGACCAGCGGAATGGAGCACCCTTCCGTGTCAATCTAGTCAAACGTGTTTCAATAGATGAGAAGCCCTCCATGAACTGACAATAATAACATGTTAACCCTAAGAAGCTCCTGATCTTGGACGTTGTGGTAGGACGAGGCCAACTTTAGACTGCCTCGATCAACTAGGGATCTACCTTAATACCCTCACCTGATACAACATGTCCCAAGAAGGCCAAAAAATCTAACCAGAACTAACACTTGGAGAACTTAACATATAGCTTCTGTTCCCGCAAGGTCTGAAGCACAACTCTCAAATGTTGCTCATGCTCCTCTATACAACACGAGTAGATCAATATTTCATCAATGAAGACAATGAAAAATGAGTCAATATATAGCCTGAACACCTGGTTCATTAAACCCATAAATGTCGTCGGGGCATTGGTCAAGCCCAAAGACATCACTAGAAACTCATAGTGGTCATACCTAGTCCGAAAGGCCGTCTTCGGAACATCTGAAGCATAACTCTTCTGCTGATAGTGGGTAAGTCGATCTTAAAGAACACCTTAGCACCCTGCAACTGGTCGAATAGATCATTAATACACGGCAATGGGCACTTATTCTTAATGGTAACTTTGTTCACCTGGCGGTAATCAATGCAGATCCACATACTCCCATTTTTCTTTTTCACGAATAACACCGGTGCACCCCAAGGCGATACACTCAGCCTGACGAACCCCTTTGCTAGCAACTCCTCAAGCTTCCCCTTCAACTCTTTCAACTCCTTCAGAGCCATGTATTACGTTTTAATAGAGATAGGCTGGGTGCCTGGTGTCAAATCAATACTGAAATCGATATCACTATCTGGCAGCATGCCTGGTAAATTAGAAGGGAACACATCGAAGAACTTCCGCACCACGGGCACTGAATCGATCGTAGGAGTCCCTATAGCAGTATCCCGAACATAAGCTAGATAACCCAGACAACCCTTCTCGACCATGTGTCAAGCCTTCACGAAAGAGATAACCCGACCAAATGCACTAATAGAAGGCCTCTACTCTAATCTAGGCAACTTTGGCGTCGCTAAGGCAATAGTCTTAGCATTGAAATCAAGAATGGAAATGATACAGAGAATAATAGTCCATGCCTAGGATGACCTCAAATTTGGTCATGTCAAGCAACAGAAGATCCGCTCTGGTCTTGTAACCACAGAAAGTCATAATACAGGACTAGTAGACCCGATCCATAACAACAGAATCGCCCACGGGCGTGGACACATAAATAAGAGCACCCAAGGACTCACGAGGGACATCCAAATAATGAGCAAATAGAGAATAAACATATAAATATGTAGACCCTAGATCGAATAATACTGAAGCATCCCTGACGCTAACAAAAATAGTACTTATCATCACAACATCTGAGGCTACTACATTTGATGTGGCTGAGAAACATAGAACCTAGCTGGAGTGCCACCTGCCTGGCCTCCACCTCTAGGGAGATCCCTACCCACTTGCCCTCCACCTCTAGAAGGCCAGACAACCAGTGCGGGAGCTGGTGTTGTAATCATGGGTTGATGGCCCTGCTACATCGCCTTGCCCTGAAACCTGGGGTAAGATCTCCTCATATGACCAAACTCCCTGCACTCTTAGAAACCTCTCGGTGCAAAAGATGACTGATACTGGGGACCTGAATACCCAGAAAAGGGCTTGAATAGCCGGTGGACAGTGGGAGCTCTTTGGAATGGGTCTGAAATAGGGCCTCATAGGTGCACCCTGAAAAGGCGATGATGCTGAATAAGTGGGTCTGCCCCCAGACGGGGCACCGCTGAATCCTTCAGAATGCTGAGGCCTCTTCTGCCCTATCGTATACAATCGTCCCTGGATGTGGATACTCTCAATCCATTGAGCTATCTCCATCACCTGTTCATAGGGAGTCCTCATCTCCACCTCTCGGGCCATAGTAACCTGAATACAATTGCAAGCCCACAATAAATCTTTGCATTTTCTTTGCATCTATGTGGAGTATCATAAGTGCATGGCGGAACAACTTAGAAAATCTCGCTTCATAATCGATCACATACATATGACCCTGCTAGAGCCACTTTAACTAGCCCTGTAGATTTTCCCTCTGAGAGGGTGGAATATATCTCTCCATAAAGAGACATGTGAACTGATCCAAGTTAAGGGAGGCGAACCTGTTGGCCTACTAATACTCTTATAGTGTGTTGGAGGCGAATCTGCGGACCCTTCCCTCCAACTGAAATATGGTGAAGTCCACCCTGTTAGACTCTAATACTCTTATAGTATGTTGTATGTCCCTACAATGATCAATAAATTCCTAAGGTCCTCATTCCGCTCATCGTGAAAGGCAGGAGGATGTAGCCTGGTCTATCTATCAAACAGATTATGCAGCTCGATGACCGTATCTGGTCTGGGCTCTAGTACAGCCGCTGAAACTGGCTGGGCTCTGCCCATATGTAATGCACCTAGGGTTTGATATATGGCAACAACGTGCCTTGGAGCTTAAGCAATGAGAGTCTGTGCTTCCCTTCCTACCTGAGATGTGGCTGGGTCCACTGGAAATAAATCAGTATGTGTCATAGAGTCCATGAACCGCAGCATATGACCCATGATTGTCACGCCCTGAACATGGGGCGATACCGGCACCCGGTACCTCAACTATCCGTGCATACCAACGTGCGACTAAGGGACTAGGAACATATAATGTCATACTTTGGCCATGGGCCACATTGCAAGGAATTTGTGAAGCAAATTATAAAACTGATCAGAAGTTAATGCTGACTAAACATCAATATAAAGCTGGGGCGACAAGGCCATCATAACTACTACAGTTGACAAACTAACAAAATATACATATAAGGCCTACAAACCCAACATATTGCACTAACTAACAGGATATGTTTACAAGCTTCTACTAATAGATGTACTATAATCGGAGCAGGCCCAGACCTACCCATATCCTATATACATATATACACAAAATGTATACAAAACTCTAGACCCGAAAACTCCGAAAGACATAGAGTTTACCGATAAATCTGAACTCGGGAAACACCTTCTGAGAAGGTCTACCCGTCTGTCTATGTGAACATGCATGCATGAAATGCAGCATCCCAAGTAAAAGGGATGTCAGATTGAAATAATGTACCAAGTATGCAAGGCAATAAAATAACTGAAAGTTGAAACTGAACTGATAATATAATAACTGAATGTAAGGAGTCAAAGATGATCTGGAGATATACTTACCTACTGATACTGACTCAACTCTCTCAATATAGTAAATAAAATAGATGCCCAGCCCTATAAGGCTCAGAACGTGTAACTGCGCCGCTGTAGTAGGCTCGCTCATAGGCGCTCGGCCACAATAGACTCGGTATATAACTTACCATTTGATTTGAGGTTGCCCAATAGGGGCTTGTCCACCGATTATAGCTCGATAGTGGTGAAAATACTATAACACTGTATGTATATATATATATATACATATATATATACACTTCTCTCTTGACTGGAAGAATACAATACTCAATTGAATATAAAGTCCCGATAAGGGAGAATACTGTAATTTATGGGAGTGGGATAATGTACATAAGTTCAGGGATATCAACTTCTTTTTATGCCTTGTTATCAAACTCATATAGTTACGAGATCATGCCAAAATGAAGGAAGGACTTAGTCTTAACAACCTGAACCGATTCTCTTAGAATTTGCAATTCACGCTTTACAGAATCAACAACTAACAATCGATTATCTTAGAATTTGGTATGGAATTTTTTGCTTTCTTACTTACTCACAATCAGCCCACTCTATTTACACAAGAGATTCAATTTGATTTGTAAGGCACACATGAATTTACATTCCAAAAACGTGAAGTAACTTGATGGCATGTAGTATCTTGCTAATTATAGAAAGCCTTTAGTGGATGTGGCCCACTTGGTGGATGACTAAGCCACCCTAATCCCTCAAAATATACCATCTACGCAAGACTTAAGAGTCACTTAAAATGTGATGGGGTTCTTCCACATTTTTTGGGGGTGGGGGGGTTAATCTTTATCCGATAATTCTTTAGTTAATTAGGTAATATCTCGTTACCCAATAATTGATCAATTACCCATATAATCAAGAATTATCTCAAATTACTTAAAATACTATTCATTTTTAACATACTTTACGTATCCTACTATCGTGGTCATTGGGTACCTTATATGGTACTAGTCTATAAATATCGGGTATGGTAGCTCGGACCGTATTTTATCCCAAATCGACAACCTTCAACGAAACTCATTTTCTTTGATTCGTTTACCCTTTATCTTTCCCGGTACTTACTTATCGCTTGCTATAAATAGCTAAATGCTTATAATCTCAAGATAATCCCATCCCCCAGTCTATGTCAATTAACTGAAGACGAAATTTTAACGTACAAAAATGTGAGATGTAACAATGTTCTTCTAGAATCCTCATGCGGATATAAAATTCGTTGGGGCTGGCTTAGCCGTAGGTACCTCTCCATGCTCCTCAATAATAGGATCCTCCATAGGATCCACTGGTGGCACAGTAGGAGCAACTCTAGGATGCCTTTATCCTCTAGCAAGAGCTGGAGCCCTGCCTCGGCCTCTAGCAACAAGGGGTGTAGCTCACCCATCGCCGGGTACATCTGGTGCACGCCTTCTCACCATCTGTGAGAGAATAAGAGAAATATACTTAGCATAACATCAACTGCATGATAGGAGATGAAGAAAGAGAAGTTTTCTAATACCCCGTAGCCTCTCGAAGATAAGTATAAACGTCTTTGTACCGATACGCAAGACTCTATTAGGACCGCTCATGACATGTGAAACCTATGTGAACCTAGAGCTCTGATATCAAGCTGTTATGGCCCAATTCCCACTATAGGCCGTAATGGCGCCCAACGTCGCTGCTAGGAAAGCCAACAGTGAACTACCCATTTAATTTCTTATTTTAATATTTTTAAAGTCATTAATTTTTATTTAATGCGGAAATAATTAGTAAGTGCTCATAGTAATGTAAAGTATAAACTAACAGGAAAGAAATATAGTAAATTAAATAATCAAAACCCAGGAGTGTCTACTAGAATTCTAAAAATCTGGTGTCACAAGTTCATGAGTGTCACACCTCCTTTTTACACCCCGAAAGGGTATATAAAGGAGTTTTTCCAATTAAAGTGACAATAATCGAAACAGAATTATTTATTCAAATTCAGAGTCGTCACTTGGGATAATTTATGGTGTCCCAAGTCACCGGTTTAAAATCCCGAATCAAGGAAGTTTAACTCTGTTTTATAATTCGCGAAACACAGAAATCCAGGTAAGGAATTCTGTTAACCCGGGAGAAGGTGTTAGGTATTCCCGAGTTTCGTGGTTTTAGCACGGTCATTTTAATCATACCTGCTTAATTAAAATGTCTAATTACTCGTTAAGAACCTATGTACATTTTTACCTCTTACCGCTTTTAATTAAGAAATTAACCTGAAACGAGTCACGCGTACGTGCACTCATTTTGTTCGGTGCGTCAAGAATCATGTCACGTGTACGTGTCCACAATTCTTAGCACTTAGTTATTTAGGAAAAAGCTTGGCCAAAGTTACACGAACGCATACCTTGGTTTTAAGTTTAGAAAAATCATAATTATGTTACGCAAAGGTATACATAATCACAATATTCGATTAATTAAGGGTGTGCCTAAAACATTTCTACGAATGTTCAAAATTATTAATTCCTAAGTTTGAGATCAAACATGAAGATTTAATAATTATGGAAATAATTTTTGGTAGTCATTATACTAATTAAACCAAAAGGATTAAGTATCTTAAACGAAAGATGTGATCAGTTCTATCCTAAACCAAATCCTCCACATTTACTCTTGCTAGAAACACTAGAAAAAGCATGAATAAATACAACAAAGAACCCAAAATGATCTGCAATTTGATATTAAGTTTTCTTTTAGATTTTTCCAATATTTCATAAACATTCATGAAAGAACAGCGAATAAATTTTCTGTTACTTGGTTTTCCCGTCCGTAAGATTTCCCTACATGCACATCAAATAAATCAAAATCCATATCCATTAGTAGTGAATTCAATTTATCGTTTCAACATAGGCACATCAGTAAGAAAATCAAAATCCACGGCAAATCAGGATATGAACTAATGAAATTTCTTCAACAAATATCACAAGCAAACACATAAACAGAGATTCAAACAATTCGTGCTCGTTTATCATCTCGGAGATTTAGCCAGGAGGATTCAATGATCACGCAATCAACAAAAAATATAAACTCGCATCAAAGGGAAGTTAAACATAATCTTCGAAATAACTGCTTATTTAATCCATTTTTCAACGACTCCTATACAGCTCGATCCACTTCAAACAAGCTTAAATAAAGAAGAGATACATGGGAATAAACCTGTAGAGCCAAAATTTGTAACAGTAAAGGATTCAATGAAAAATTCGACTTTAATTCACAAAATTATAATGAGATACAGCACATGAATCAAACAGAGAACCACGAAATCGACTTCGAACGGCAACTCAAATCAATAAACCTCCCAACGAGAATCCAAAAGAAGAATGAAACCTTTATTTTTGAATTTTTCTAACCTTTGAAATAAACTAAGAAAGATGAAAGAACTGATTTTTTTTGTATTTTTATATGTTCTCTATGGAATTGAAAGGAAACCTGTACGGAAAATCCAAACACTGAGAACGAAGCCTCCTCTGTCCGTATCCCTCTATTTCTCTTTCAATTTAAATTCTGGCTGTTTCCCCTAGCCTCCAAGAGTTGTTGCTCTATTTTCTTCCATGTCTATGTAAGGTCGGCTCTTAGGTGAGAGATCAGAGTTACGGTGGCGATGGAAATTTTTTTAAGGGGAACTAGGGTTCCGGCGGCTGAGGAGGAGCGGAACGCTGCTGGGGTTTTAAGTTCAGGGATCGGCGTTGCTTCTTCTACTGAAGAAGAAGATGGTAGGTGTGGTCTTAGGTTGTCAACGATGAAGAAGAACGGCGGGGGTGGCGATGGCTGGAAAACAAATCTGTGGGTGTTAGTCGATGGTGTGAGATTGGTGTTGGAGAAGAAAAGCTTTTATTTTTCGTTGATTTTTGGTGAAGGAGATTGGGGTCAGCAGCTGATGATTTCTTATAAAGAGGGGGGTCTTTTTGGAGTTGTCGCTGTAGCTTTTTTTTTAGGAGAAATTAGGTCTCTTCTATATAGAGGGAATTAGGGTATTGGGTATTGGGCTAATGGGCTAATCCGAAAATTGTGCCTAAAATTGGGCTATAAGACTCTTAAAATTATGGTCCAACACCTTAGTTAACTCCCTTTAATATAAGATTAAAATACTACAGAATGCAAAAACTAATCCTAATTAATTAAACTAAACTATATTAAATATGAAACTACTTTTTTGTATTTTCAAGATTATATAAAGATAAAATAAGGTACTATTTTTGTATTTTTTAAAAAATTTATGAATGGTACATAAACTAAAAGTAACTAGATAAAATATTTTTGTAATTTTTATTTTTGTTATAAAATAAAATAAAATAGTTAAAACTAGTTGAAATAGCGATATCAGCCCTAAACTAAATAGATTACGCTAAAATGTGTAAATTCTTGGGGAGGGTCAAAAACTACATTTCTACAGCTGCCCCTCTTTGACTGGAAACGCAAGGGGTTTTCTGACAAAGAACGACGAGACAGGTTTTTTGACCCGACCCTTATTTAGAGAGACCAAAAACTAATAGAAAGGAGAATGTGAAAGAGCCCTGATATCTGAGCTACCTACATATCCTTGGCTATAAAGGAATCAGGCCACATATAGTTCAGAAGTAGGAACAACGATGGAGTATACTGAGGTGAAGAGCCGATTGAGGTGACGTTCCATCGAGGTTCCGATCCACGATCCTTTTATTATATCAAAATCAAAAATGAAAAAGACCAACTAAGCCTGTCAACTATAAGCTACAAGATTTCTATCTATAAGTCTTCTGAAGCTTGATCTTGAGTCTTGAATGGTTCTTCATGCAGACTTTAGATTTAAACGTTGACACTTGCAGCTGCAGGTGCTAGTTCATTCTTCTTTAGCTTTTTCGGATCAAGACCAGACATGTAGCGCTCGTGACTTCAACCACGTATTGAGCAGTTCACATCTTTTCCTGCTTCTGCATTTTGGATTCACTTGCCTCTTTTTTTCTTTTCTTTCTTTTTTCTTGGATTAAGACTTCTTCTTTTGCCATCTCAAACCCCCGTGCCTCGAGGTGAAAACCTTATTCTTCAGGAAACTCGTGCTACCTTTGATTTGAAACTTGAAATGAATTGTGAAATGACTTCCCCCATTCTCCAGGTGGGTGCCTACTACTGACTGGAAACTTGAAATAAATTCTCTTGTTTTCCAGGTGGGCGCCTGATGCTTAAACTTTGAGATGAATTCTCTTTTTTTCAAGTGGCACCTGCAACTTAAACTTGAAATGAATTGCCTTATTTTCCAGGTGGGCGTCTACAACTTAAACTTGAAATGAATTCCTTTGTTTTCTAGGTGGGCGCCTGATGTTAGAACTTGAAATGTTTCCCTTGTTTTCCAGGTGGGCGCCTAATGCTAAAACTTGAAATGAATTCCCTTGTTTTCCAGGTGGGCGCCTGATGCTTAAACTTGAAATGAATTCCCTTGTTTTCCAGGTGGGCGCCTGATGCTTAAACTTGAAATGAATTCCCTTTTTTTCCAGGTGGGTGCCTGATGCTTAAACTTGAAATGAATTCTCTTGTTTTCCAGGTGGGCGCCTAATGCTAAAACTTGAAATGAATACCATTGTTTTCCAGGTGGGCGCCTGATGCAGAAACTTGAAATGTATTCCCTTGTTTTCCAGGTGGGCGCCTGATGCAGAAACTTGAAATGTATTCCCTTGTTATTCAGGTGATGCTGAAACTTGAAATGTATTCCCCTGTTATTCAGGTGGGCGCCTGATACTGAAACTTGAAATGAATTCCCTTGTTATCGAGGTGGGCACTTGATGCTAAAACTTGAAATGTATTCCTTTGTTATCCAGGTGGGCGCCTGATGCTGAACTTTGAAATGCATTCCCTTGTTATCCAGGTGGGTGCCTGATGCTGAATCTTAAAATGAATTCCCTTGTTATCCAGGTGGGCGCCTGATGCTGAAAACTGAAAATGAATTCCCTTGTTATCCAGGTGGGCGCCTGATGCTGATATTGAAAATGAATTCCATTGTTATCCAGGTGGGCGCCTAATGCTGAACTTTGAAATGAATTCCCTTATTTTCCAGGTGGGTGCCTGTCATTACAACAAAACAGACAAAACAAAAGAAACTTTTCTTCCCCAGTTTGATACTGGGAACATCTGTGAGTGTTAATCGAATCATGTTATTCAAAAGAGCTATAAGAATTTAAAAGCTAAATCCCATTATCTAGGAGGGCCCTAAAAATTAAAATTAAATTTCATTATCTATAAAGGTCTTAAAAACTTAAAACTAAACCCCATTATCCAGGAGGGTCCTGAGGACTTGAAATTAAACCCTATTATCCAGGAGGGCCCTGACAACTTGAACTTAAATCCCATTATCTAGGAGGGTCCTGAAAACTTGAAATTAAATCTCATTATCTGGGAGGGTCCTGAAAACTTAAAACTACATCACATTATCCACGAGGGTCCTGCAAACTTGAAATTAAATCCCATTATCCAGGAGGGTCCTGAAAACTTAAAACTACACCCCATTATCCAGGATGGTCCTGAAAACTTGAAACTAAATCTCATTATCTAGGAGGGTCCTGAGAATTTTAAATTAAATCCCATTATCCAGGAGGGTCCTGAGCACTTAAAACTAAATCCCATTATCCAGGAGGACCTTGAAAACTTGAAACTAAATTCCATTATCCAGGAGGATCCTGAAAACCTGAACCTAAATCCCATTATCCAGAAGGGTCCTGAACACTTAAATCTAAATCTCAATATCCAGGAGGATCCTGTAGGAGGATCCTGAAAATCTGAAACTAAATCCCATTATCCAGGAGGGTCCTGAACACTTAAAACTAAATCCCATTATCCAGGAGGGTCCTGAACACTTAAAACTAAATCCCATTATCCAGGAGGGTCCTGAAAACTTGAGAATGAACTTACCTGAGCCATGCTCTCTCCCTAGAGGATCTCTGCAGAACAATCAAAATTCCTTGCCCCTGAACCATGCTTTCCTCATGGAAGGTTCTTGCATATCGAACAAATTTTCTTTCCCCTTCTCAAACCGCCTTTGTGCTGACAAAATATGGGCACGACACTTGAAAAATTCAAGCTTCCAAGCTTTGATTTGGACATAGTCTTCGTCCCTATTTCAAACAAAGAAACTTTGTGAGTTTAAACATGGTGGTTGGTTTGTGGCCTTGATATTGAGGGCGATTGCTCCTTCACTTCCCATGATAACTTTGATTTCAACTCGAAAGACCTTGCTTGTTTATTGACTAATCACTTTCTCTGTCACCCTTTATCATAGAAAATACCTTTGATCCGTTTAAACCCAATGCCCTCTATTTGTTGCATTTTGCTCATGAATTTACATTTAACGAACCTTTGCATTTCATATGAATCCCAAAGCACGTTGATTGTTACTAACTAAGTGCGCTACTATTCTTTCCTGACTTATGCCACTTTGATGTGCTAGCCAGATTCCGTTTTGTGCAATTGGAAAGTTGGTAGCAAATTTTGAAATCATTTCTCACTTGTTCTAGCCAAATAGACTCAAGAAGAGGAAGTAAATAAAACAAAAGGAATGGAGTAAGGGACAATGGAAAAAGATGATACCTAACAAGAAAATTACAAAGTAGAAACTTATCAGATGTGGATACCAACTCTAATGACCATGACATGCACCTTTAGATTAAGTGGCATAATCTGTCAACCAAGAGTAATGTTAAACTCTTGTTGTACCTCTGAGTCGTGCAATTGGGCTTCAATACTCCAATTATCCTATCTGATTCACGGTCCTTATTCGACTTGTATTGACCGAAGGTTTTTCACCATCAAACCTCTCTCATTTTGTTCTTTTTCTCAACTTACCGTCGCCTTATGGTACCTTTCCCTTGTTTCACGTTCCTTGTAGCTTAATTAATCCCCTATGTGTCGGGATCTGAACCGTGGTGATGCTCTTCTACAGCTTCTTCTACATAGGATCCGTAACTTCTGGAATTGAAAAATAAAGCTTTTCCAAGCCCGAACAAGATCAAAAGAACTGATTTCATTGATAAGATTCTCTCATTTTTTGCTGATTCTGTAGATGACAAGGCATTAATCATGATAGAAATATCATATGCTCCTATCATGTCTGACTCGGCACTCTCAAAGATTATCTGGGAGGTCTTTTTTGGACTGTAATATGGCTTTTGGACAAGGTTAGAAAGAAAGAATATCATAAAGGCTCGAAATAACTAAGACAACAGGGTTAATTTATCTACAACTTTTGGAATCCATTATAAAAACTTTGCCCCAATTTCTAAAACAAGGGAATTTGATTCTTTTTTTTCTGTTTTTCTCTTTGAAATTGAATTTCTAAGAAAGACTGCCCCACTCTCAACTTCGTAGGATTATGAAATATTTTATTTGGTGTGACCGAACCGTAAGGTTGCCTACGTATCTTATGGTGATAAGAATCAGGTCGAACATAGTTCAAAAGACTACTTTTTGTTACTATTTGCCTTTTTCCCCTTTTTTTTCTTTTTCTCTGTTTTTTCTTTATCTCTATTTTTTTCTTCTTTTTTTTTTTGAATTTTCCTTTTGAAATGAACTTTCTAAAATAAACATATGGGGTCATGAACTTTTTTTTTCGTATGACTCTAACTTGGTTCTAAAAGAGGGGAGGTCAAAGAAATCAGTATAGGCTCAAAAGAGTATCGAATGGTACAAGTATTTGGGTAGCTGAAAGAGGGCCTCCCAATCCTTGAAAATGCCAAATACAACACATGCAACTTGAAATGAAAAAGGAAGAGCACACACAATATTTCTTTTGTAGCTTCGACATTGATATCACTGATATGCCTTGCACTTTTCTTTAGTGCCTTGTTAAGTACAAGACTCTTGTTGGGTGATTCCCTCTTCATAATGGATATCCTCCGTCATTTCGGAGCAAACTCTCTTGACTTTATCTTGTAAATTGAGGTGCACTT